ACAAATAAGGAGACCACACAAATAAAGATACCTAACATGGAACCTCAACAGAAAGAGCAAATGTTCAGAGGCACAGAAGGATCACAGATAGGTTGAACCTCAAATGAACAACACAGGACGAAGTGATGTAAAATCTAGTAAGTGATGTAATATCAAGAAGTGATTGTACAGTCCTGAATCCGGAATTTAAGGACAGGAACAAACAACTCAAAACTGCATTCATAAACCTCTGAATCTATTGAAGGAAGGCCACCAAAAGGAGGTTAAAAATAAATGTCATATAGAAATGTCTACCAAGTGAATGCTGTATTAAATCTTCATGTGACATATAATGTTGTTTATTGTGAAGACAATAGTGTACCAGATAAACTTTCCAGTTTTGTAAGTCAACAAGCACATGTTAAGACAACAAGTACAAAGTCGTTCACAAATGGAACATAAGATAAATGATAAAGTGAGATGAAGTTTATGAATAGAGCATAAGTGATAGGTTAAAGGCCTAAGAATTCAGCGGTTATTTTCGTTAGATAAAAAGTAATTATTCAGAGTAATTATTAATATATTTGTTATACTCAATTTCTGTTTTTTAATAAAGTACGGAAATAATTTAACAAAAATGATAAAAGTTCTTACCCCTCCACTCTTCGGCAGGAAGACAATTTTGATGAAAGAAATTTCTCTGACGAGTTCATTGTACAATCTCTCTTGGCCGAGTACAATAATAACATCAACTTCAAATGCCTGAGCAACATGTGCCAAGCTCTTGTAACCTTCATCTCTGACCCAACCACAAGTGTTGATCACCACACCGGAAGCTGCAACTATAGAAAACAGACAAAATTACAATAATTAGCAGAATATAATTATTATGTTATTAACATATACATAAAACTTAACTATATAAATAGACAAGAGAACAAGTACACTGTTCTATAAGTGTACAAGTGTGTGTACAAGTGTTTTTGCCACTCACTAGCAAAAACTGCCACTCTTGTACAGGTTCAAATACCTCCAAGTTTCTCACAGATTAAGGAGCAAATCAAGAAGAAAATATTCTCAACTATCAAAAGTCGTCACAGAGCCAAAGTAGCGGAAGGAAGATCAACTGCGATATGGTACAATATGAACAAGCCACTGATTACTACTCTTTCAAGCCTGGCAAAAAGATATCCAGAGACATTGCAGTAGCCATACACAGACTCAGACTTGGTTATAAGTGCTGCTGGGAGGTAATGAACCCAATAGTTAAAGACTTTCACATCTGTGAAGTAGAAGCAGAGGCGCCACTATTGCATTACTTACTGGAATGTGAAGCTACTGAAGGCCTGCGCATCAAACTCAACATTAATCCAACGACATCAGCTGCATTAGATGCACATTCCACTGCGACTACAATGATTAGAAAAGCTGTTGAGGAATGGGACTCACTAGTGAGCATTCTGCATCTACATCCGCCTCCAAGATAATGTTAATAAAACAAGCCTAAAACTAGTGCACTAAAACAGAAGCGATAAATAAACTGGAAAAAATGAGGAATCCCCTCCTCCATTTTAAACTTAGACCCAAATATCACAGAAACAAGGTTATTGCGAATAGCCGAACTCATTTACGGGCTCACCATAGCCCGTGCTATTTGGACACTTCGTTCTGAGTAGCTGAATTTTTAACAACAACAACAAACAACAAGTACACTTACAAAGTTATAAGTTATTTAGCCACATATTTATATATATAGCTAGAGAGGGCTCCTGACTATTCTCGGACCAATTCACTTTGCACGGTCCTACCTTACCCTCTCTCTCTCTCTCGGAAAATTTAATCTATTATGAAGAACTGAAAATCCCTTAAATATCTCTATGGAAAAACATCTCCAACTTTAGATCGCAAGGGCTTGATCTTGAAAAGGTGGGTGAGGCTAGCCCCAAGCATTTGACCTTTAGCCTCAGACAGACAAAGACAAACAGACAGATAGTCTCTTTTAAAACATAGATATTAGGCTTTTCTCCTTTCTCAATGACATCCATGCCTCTTGTGGCTAATAACAAATATAATTGTGAAGATTATTTATTCAGTGAGAACTGATAATCGTTTTATAAGCATAAAAGTAAATATTTTTTTTATAAAAATCTAAAATAAAAAAAAAATAACGCATAAAATTCATTCTATGAGTCAAAATTTAAATGTCTAAGCTTAAGAAATAATTCCGTCATACTTACCCTTTTTATTGCCACCCATTTTGCCTTGAACTGTGGTTGCCATTCTAGAAACCAAAATATTGTACAGTGTCAAGTTGGAATGTGGGGCCAAGTGTCCAAAGTTGTAGATCAAGGGAGCTTCTTGAGAAAATCCTTCTTCCACGCTGAAAGCACGCTCAACTAGTTGTGCCCCTAAAGTAGAAAAGTACACATGTATATCATCACATTAAAGAATATTACTTATAAGTTTTACCACCAATTTTAGAATTGTTCTCCCATTTGAAGTAGCTGCTTTTAAAAGTATTACTAAACTATTACTTAATAATCACCACCTAGTCACTAGACAACTGAAGAAAATGAAGCTTTAATAAGAAGTATATTTAAAGTTTACAGTATTAGTAAATTATGTATTTAATTTTTTTATTTTTTTAAATGAAACTATCTTTAGTGAGAGTTAATGGTGTAGTTAGTGTTTTACGTATGTCCTCGTCATACACAAGGTTGTGATCACTAGAGACAAGAATATAATGGTAATTGGTGACAAGATAATTTTGTTTAAGCAACTTAATAACTTTGGCTTCTCATAACTATGGTCAAAAAGACTACTGTATAAGGCAGGTTTTTTAAATTTGCTTTTAGACAGTAAACAAGTAAAAACGTAAGATCCACAAATAATGAAGCGCAAATGTCCGTATCCGCAAAATATGAAAAAAAATTATAAAGTTCGTCCATTTTGTTTGTTCAATGCACTTTTTGTTACAAAAATTTTATATAAATATAATATATAAAAAAAGTAATATTAAATGAAGTAATATTTATTATGGCATCTAATTAAATGCAATCTAATAATATTATTAAATGTTGACCAAACCACACACTAGAAAGTGAAAGGACGACAACGTTTCGGTGCAAATTGGACCATTCTCAAGTCGATTGTCAATATTAATAAATGCAACAATATGGGTTGTCTTGTATGTCTGTTGTAAGAGTCATTGTATCGGTCTCCTTACTGAACAGGAGTCAGTGTCTGCTGGCTTTTTATTGGGCAATAATTTTTTTAGTATGAAATAGTTTTATGTATTACTATACAATGAGGCAATTAAGAAATTACAGTAACTTATCATCGAGCTTACCTATAGTACCTGGGATTGCAATAGATCCGTCACTGACATCCAAGTCCACAAAGATTGGTCTGCGTCTCATACGTACAGCATAGTTAAGAAGGATGTGGCACAACGTTGATTTTCCTACATCTGCCGGTCCCACAATCATTGTAACGGGCCCTCTTTTATCTTCTCCACGACTCAGTCCATCATCCGCATGTTCTCGTAATCGCTCTAAACACGCATGTGTGTTTAAGTACATAACCTGTAAAATGTATGTACATCATAAGTTACGTGACACGTTAACATATATTGATCATGTATCATTACAATGATAACAATGGTAAGTTGACCTGACCACACACTAGAATGTGAAGGGACGACGACCTTTCGGTCCGTCCTGGATCATTCTCAATCGGCTTGAGAATGGTCCAGGACGGACCGAAACGTCGTCGTCCCTGTACCTTCTAGTGTGTGGTCTGGTCAACTTACTTTAGCCACGTTATTGTGACTCATCGCCTGCATAACAAAGGTACTATAACAATTTACATTGTTACAAAGGTACTTTAACAATTTACATTGTTACAAAGGTACTATAACAATTTACATTGTTACAAAGGTACTTTAACAATTTACATTGTTACAATGGTACTTTACATTGCAGGCGATGAGTCACAATAACGTGGCTAAAGTAAGTTGACCAGACCACACACAAGAAGGTTAAGGGACGACGACGTTTCGGTACGTCCTGGACCATTCTCATCGACTTGAGAATGATTCACCTTCTAGTATGTTGTCTGCTTAACGTACTTTACATTGTTACAATGGTACTTTTACACAAATTGAAAATGCAGTGGTACTTTTACACAAATTGAAAATGCAATGGTACTTTTACACAAATTGAAAATGCAATGGTACTTTTACACAAATTGAAAATGCAATGGTACTTTTACACAAATTACTAACCATTGGAGTGTCATTGGCAATGTAGGTTCCTTGTGTATTTCCTGTGATCTTGAGCGTACAACCATGCCATGTGTAAACTGCAACTGAAGCCCCAGAGAGGAAAGTATAGCGCTTGTCTGAAACCAGCTCTGTTCCAAACACTTCGGCTTTCCCACTCGTTAACTGTTGATATGAAGTTCCTTTAGAGAATGACGAATGAAACGAAAATGAATATTAAAATGAAAAAGAGAATGAATGAAAAATTTAGAAAGCTCAGTTGTTCATGAATGTCTAGGTTTTGCTACAATATTTCATTAAATTATAACATCAGATTCCATACATTGTATTATTAAATAATCTGACCAACCATTTATGAACCATTAGGCCATGCAGATCCGTCTTTTTTGTACAATACTCAAAGCCATTTATTTCAGAAACGGGCGAGACAGTAATGGTTACTTGAATCGTTAATTGCAAATACAATTCGTCTTCATCTTGAAAAACATAAATTAATAAATGAGTCGCAACATGGTTTTACAAATGGCCGTTCATGTTTAACAAATTTGCTATCTTTTTATTCAAGCATAGTTGAGGCAGTTGATAGTGGTAAGGATTGTGATGTGTACCTTGACTTTAGCAAAGCTTTTGATACAGTGCCACATGAAAGACTAATTAAAAAATAGAAGCTCATGGTATTGGGGGTGCTATATTAAGTTGGAATAGGGCATGGCTATTCCAAAGGAAACAGAGAGTTAGTATAAATGGGGTTAAGTCAGAGTCGGATAATGTTGTTAGTGTAGTGCCTCAAGGCTGTCCTGGGACCTCTGTTGTTTATAATATATATAAACGATTTAGATTCAGGTTTGAGTAGCAACATCTGCAAATTTGCAGATGATACAAAAATGGTAGGGAAATTAACACGGAAGAAGACTCACTATCACTGTTGATCTAAATAGGGCTTTGAAATGGTCAAAAGATTGGCAGATGCAGTTTAATGCTGATAAATGTAAAGTTCTGAGGCTAGGTAATGATGATGAATGAGTTAAAAAGATACGAGCTAGATGGTGTTGAGATTGCGAAGTCGGATTGCGAAAGGGATCTGGGAGTTATGATTAGTAAGAATTTAAAACAAAAGAATCAATGCATGAATGTTCACAATAAGGCAAATAGGACACCAGGATTTATTATTCGAAGTGTTAGTAACAAGACACCTGGTGTGGTTCTTCAGCTATATCTTACTCTGGTTAGGCCCCATTTAGATTATACAGTTCAGTTTTGGTCGCCGTACTATAGAATGGATATAAATTCACTTGAACGTGTCCAGCGTAGGATGACTAAGTTAATTTCCCAAATTAGAAATCTTTCATATGAAGATTAACAAAGCCTAAAATGCATTCATTGGAAAAGCGAAGAGTTAGGGGTGACATGATAGAGGTTTA